AAGTACAAGTCCTATATTATAACTAAATAAACTGATAATAATAAGGTTATAAAGTATAAAAGTTAATAAATGTAATCACGTGCGTTATTCCAATCATTAACAACTAATAATCGTAAGCCTATTTTAGCATGCGCGTTAAAAATTATTAAAAGCCCCACAAACCAGTAAAATTTTATTTTGTTAAGTATATATTTTACTTGAATCCTGCCATTTTTATTGAAATGAAATTTTAAAATGTCAGATTCTTTTCAAAAGATTCAAGTTACTATAGACGAATTATTAATTGAAATAATATTGTTATACGCTGATATGAAAATACTATATGGAAACCTGTGTAAATCCCTTCAAGAGGTATATCACTAAACTATGCTTGCGTATAGCTTTTTTGCGACGTATAACTATATTTACTTTGCAAATCAAGTGAAATTACTTTGAATTTAGGCCCATATTTATTTTTCTAAAGCTCGTTATAGCTCGGGCAATTTTTCTTCTCAGAACTTTGTGCTTCTCTATCCGGCCAAGTGTCGACCTTCTTTTTTAGTATCTGTGTAAGGTTTTTAAATATGTGTTCTTATATTGATACTATGTAAACACATTTCTATTTGCTTACGTATATTTTTATTACGCACAGCCGCTATCGTGTGTACATAAAACTTTTATTTCTATTTTATGTAGTTCATTAGGTCAATTCCTAGTAAATTGAGACACACTATATTTTTATTGTATTCTAAAGGTTTTCATTATATAGGGATTTTGAGGGTTTAGTTTTTACTGAGAGCAGGTCTAAAAATTTGGTGGAGAATAAAATTATTAATGGAAACAATTTTCAAGTTGTCACTCCGTCTTATCTGGGACTTAAAAGGGCAGAATCCTCTATGATTACGAGAAAACGTAGAGTCAATAGTCCCAACTACGCAAAAGCTGACTCCGATTCACCTAATTCGGTTCCTCTTAAGGCTAGTGATAGTTTGCTTGGCCCTAAAATTTGGACACCTTCACTTCCTGATCTAGTTAGTATGTCAGCAATATTATTATTGATAGATATTCTGATAAGTATGTGTTTTTAAAACCTCCGAACTTTCAGAGATATGAACACAACGAATCTTTGCAGTGGTTTGGAGTACTCGTTCCTCGTGACTTGCGAATTTCTCAGTCGCGTTTTATTGATGGTATTATTACTTTAATTATTCTATTTTTTCCTTAATATATATTTTTTTCTGTAGCTACTAAAGTAGCCTTGGATATTGCTTCAAAAAAAGCGCAAATCATCAATAAGATAAGTCGAGTCGCTTTTTTGAAAAAGCAACTAACCCGCTTGAGACCTAACGTTAACCCTGACAACAAAAATAATTAGAGTAAAGGACCGGCTGATACCTATATAGTTTTTAAATAAAGTTTTATACTTAGCGTTAAGAACGTTTTTAATAGCTATTTTTATTTTAGTTGTAATCCTTTACTAATTTACATCCAACCTGAATTAAACCTCTATAACCTAATTTTTAAAACTTTGAATAATAGTCATTTTTACTTCTCAACTTTTATTGGAATATATTTTTATGTGATAACCCATAAATAATACGGACTCTGCTCCCATTATTTAACTGACGGAATCAAAAAATATTAAAGTACAGCAACTTTTGTTATCACTAATAACTAAGTGCAGGTTACCTCGCGATATACTTATTTTTATACATGCTGGCAAATAGCACTATTGAAATACTGTACGCAACTTTATAGTTAGCTAAACTAACGGACACGTTAGTATGTGCCATATTTATTATTTATTATTGGCGTTTTCCTGGTACTCGACCGTTAACAACTTGTAATACACGAGCTTTAAAACAGATTTTTAGTCCACGAGTGCAAGTAAAACTATTATCTTAACACATGGCCTTCACGTTCGACCGTATTTCGTCGATTGGATTAAAGCATTTAAATGAATTATAAAAAGGCAGTCCAGCGCGGCACTACGCGCTCTAAAATTATTTTATAATGAAGCTGGCATGTTTGAGTTTAAAATACACGTCCATTTTACTGATTAATCTTTATTCTGTTTGTAATGAAGGGAGAGAAAATTTAGCCTTTTATGGTTTTATAGATGAATGAAGCACATAGATAATGCAGTTTATTACAAACTAGTATAAACTAGAATTATTTATTTTTTTTTTGATAAAAAAATTATTTATTATTCTATTACATTAACTACTATTGTTACCATTACTATAATTACTACTACTATTAGTAGTAGAGAAGGAAGGGTCGGGTAGTATTTAAATAAGTATTTAGTTTGCCAGCATGAGCGGATGGGTTTAATAAAGTGTTTAGGTAGGTCGAAGGATATTCATAAGTAAAAATTCGTTGGACAGTGTGCTGGCCCCGCTCATAGCGTTTTTTTGCGTTCTTTTTAATCAGTTACGAGATGAATTTAGCTTTACAGACTTGGTAAGGAGTTAGTACACCGCCGAAAAAAAATTTGTATTTTTCCTCCTATAAGTGTCCCATAGAAGAGAAAATTCAAGCGAAAAACGCGTCTGTGAGTATTGAACTTAACATGCATTTATATGAAAGGAGCTTATTAATTCTTTTTTTACTCGTTAAGTAGGTTAAGAGTTGTAATCAATAATTACATTAAGATATTAGCTGGCAAGCACAAAGGAGATAATTTGCGGAGCTCCTTGAGACACCGGCTGGAAGGTAGTGCCAAGTAAGGGTTAAAGTTTTTATCTTAACTTGACCCAAACTTTCTATTTTTTAAAAAATAAAACCTAATTAATTCGAAAAATTACTATGGTCTGGCATTTTAAAAATTAATCCTTAAGGTCATACGTTAGAAGCCCTCTATAAACCTTCTAAAATACAAGAATTGTAGCTTTGTAACATTTTTTAACACTTTAATAACGTGCTTCAAAAACCTCAAGCTCTGTTGGGTAGTAGAGCGCCCTATTAAAAGCATAGCTGTACATTGATTATTATAGCCTCCTTTACAAAGTTTTAATCAAATTTTGTTTTAGCTCGCTTTTGTTCTAAGATCTTGGTTGTATCTTATCTCCACTTCTGCTTTAAACTCTTATTAGTTTCACTTGTTTCTTCTATTTATTACTATCTTCAGTAAACCTTACCATCTTCGGCCCGTAACGGTAATACGCGTTTTTTTAGGACATACATGTAAGCTCCTTAACCCAATGACAGTTCGTGTGCTTCTCAAGACAGTCATAAACAGACGCTGCTGCGCTTTAGGAACTATCTCAGAGCTACGCGAAACTTACTTTAAGTGCAAACAAGACGCACTGGCGCCTGCCGCAGCAGGTAGTTTAATTGTAGTTGCACTATTTGAAAAGGTAAACGATGTGCAACGAATATCCCCGCAGGAAAAATGTGGGCATGGCCGGCCTCACACACCCCGTGCATAATTAATGCAGTAGCGCCGTCGTTTTAGTATTTGCCATAATAATTTGTTGTCGATGGTAATTTCAGGTATTTTTCCTGATGGGCAACATGGGGGCTCCGCACACCACAAAAAAAAGGGGGGGGGGGGGAGTGTAGTGCGCTTCTTTAAAATAAATATTTTATTGGATAAGGCTAAGTTATGCAACCATTATAGACCGAAAAAGATAGTCATAAAGCTTCTGGGAACAAAACTTACGAACTTAAGCTTGCGTGATTAAGCTCTTAACCACAGAGCTACGGCGACAACTCTCAATCCCGCTTTGATGGAAGCTTCTACCATGGGTGTAAATGGAGACATCTGATCTTGAAAGATGTAAATAGATCAGTAATAGTAGGCTCCCTATAATTAAATCTTCCGCAACTATATTTTCAAAGGGCAGGAACCCCTAATACAAGATTTTCCTTTAAAGATTGAGTGCTAATTTTAGCAACTTCATACTCTTTTTGAGACCACTTTAGTGACTTTTTCTCCGGCAATGGATAAGTAAAAAATTCGTACTAGTTTGCTACTAATAACACTACCTTTTTCTGAATCGTCTAAAAAAGAGATTTGAAGTTACATTTTTATTTATAATGTCTTTAAATCAAGTCATTACTTATATCTCTAAGAGTTGAAAGAAAATTTTTCCTTAAGAAAACCTCCAGGCAGGGCTGCCCAGTAGGTTGGAAATAGGTGGGCACTTTTATATAACCTACCATGGATGTGTCAACATGACTATGATTTTCCGGTTTTTAAGAAAGGGCTGTATATAAGTTAAAGTAAGAAGCAAAGGAGGTAACAATTTTTGTGGTACATATATTCTTTTCTAAGTTGGGGTTGAGGTTTAAAGAGCTTTTCTACGTCCCTCACAAATCTCCAGACCTCTTCAAATCTTTCTAAAAGCTGTGTGACAAAGTTAGTAGGATAGAAGAAGTAAAAAGGATTAAAAGTCTTAAATAAAGATAAAAGGTTTAGGTATTAAATTTTAAATATTAAGTAAACTAAAAAATCAGAGTTTTATATAGTTTCATGGCCAATTATATATGTAAGGATAAAAAGGTGTTTACGAATTTATTTCCTTCTATAATGCTGTAATATACTTTATTATTACAAACTGATCAATTTTTATTTCACGTGCAACAGCCTACAAGTACTTGAAAATTTACTAATTAGACAGGGGAAGGACGGGGCTGTGAATTTTTCTTAATAAGCCAATCTTATTTGGGGACAAAAGAAGCGTGCGCAGTACTACTAAATAGTAAATCGGGAATAAACTTATTTACGGCGGCCTTAATATTAATTAAGGTAGATTATGAGAAAGCTGAAATACCATGAGAAAAAACTTTTAAAAAAGGTTGATTTCTTTTGTTATAGAAAAGAAAATAGTTTGCGTGAAATAAAGGTACAAAGACGCTTTCATCTACAAAACAGAGAAGATTACGTTAAAAATAATAAATTAGTGGGAGCTATACGAAAGATTTGCTGCACTTATTGAGTTTTTGCCGTTTTCACATGATGTAATTATATATAATATTTTTTAGAATAGTAGAGCTTGACGCTTCGGATCCTTTTCGCATACAATACACCGACTTGCTTCTTAATAAATTATATTATATGGGAATAATAATTTTAAAGGACAATCTTCAATGTTGCGAAAAAGTTTCAGTAAGCGCTTTTTGTCGCCGTCGCTTGCCTGTTGTTATGGTGAAACTTAGGATGGCTCAATCTGCATAATATATATTTGAACAACTCTTTATATTTTATTAGTTTTGTACATGATAAGTAATGAAAAGTAATTATTTTTTATAAATAAAATTTTAAATTACTTTAAGCTCATCTTTTCAATAAAAAGGACCAGTTGCTTACCATTAGCTCATATAATTTTCATTTATTGTGATTGTCGAGCTTTTGTAGCACAAGACTTTTTTTATTATATTTTTAAAAATATTAAAGAAATAGTTTTTACTTACTAAGGCGTATATGTTTAATTTTTTTATCTATGTATATTTTGTTTAAGTTTATACTTTTGGTTTTACATCAACTCTGTAGGCGTGTTTTAATCGTGCTGTTAGGTCAGGCAAGCCGTCCAGCTAGTTGAGCAAGCACACGTCCGGGTTGGGCCAGACACCATTACTGGCAATATTTATTTTTATAACATTGTTTAATTTATTTAGTTTTATCATATTTTTAATTATTGTAACTAATTATTTATTAAACTAATTATTCAAATATATTTTTTTAACTTTTATTATTTATTGAATTTAGATCCTGCTTTTTTAGTGACGAGGAACTTGGAAGATTTTGTTACGTGGGTGGACACATCGAAGATCAAAAGACATATCATGAAGTATAACGACAAGCTGGATGACTACGACTTGTTATAATAAAATTATTACAAATAAAAATATCGCGATTTTATTTTTCTCCCTTATTTACGTTGTTTTATATAAGAAACTTATTTAGATTTTTTCTGTTGAATAAATTTGTAAAAAATAATAGGCACCTGCTAATACTTCTTTTTTGTACATATGTAAAAGTTAAGCCAGTGATTGCTAACTTACTAGCCTATAATAAAAGTTTTTGGACAGTTTTCTTAATTGATGGCCAGCAGGCGGATGGCTTCGTTTTCTTATGACAATAGCTTTGAATAGAATATTTTATTTCTCTATTTATTATTTTATTTTGCTTTCTAAAAGTAATTTTTGAATATTTATAACCTTTAGTGTAAAAAATTACCGTGTAGTTTTGAGTCTTGGTTCGAAAACGTCGAAGAAATTTTTTCTTTCTATAATAAATATTTGGCTATAGTTTTTTTACGTTCCAATACCTAAAGATAAGCTTTCATATGATGTTGCTATTTTCATTACAAATTTTGAAGCAGTACGATTTGTATATTAACTATTTTAAACTTTTTTTGTTGTGTTTTAATGGTTTGTGTTGTCTTTAAGTACTTTGTTAGATGATAACCCTAATAAGCTTAATAACGAAAAACGACGTCCGCAAATATCTTATATATTAATTTTAAAAAAAAAAGTTAATTTGAGACTTTTAACAAGCCAGTCCTAAAATTTTTTTAGTTTTCTCGTTTTTATACAAGCTGAATGACTACAAATTTCATTATACATTAATTTTTGTGAAAAGATTTTCTTTTTGCGAGTGCATTTTTAGTATCTTTTCATAGCGGTATAAAAGAGACTCGCCGTCCCTTTGTATATAGTTGTTATATAATATTGGTTTCCCGCTTTTAGTAAATTTAATTTAAAATGTTTATTTAATATTTCTTTTGGGATAATCTTGTAAATTTTGTTAACTAACTTTATTTTTAAAGCTCAAAATTGTTTATGATATTAGTCAGGTAGCTTTGTGTAGTTGCCGTAATGGACGAAAAGCTATCTATTTTGTCTTATATATTTTTATTAAAAATTAATACACTAATAAAGACTTTTTACGTAAAAAAATTGGTGGAGGGTAACTTCTTTGGAATTCTAATGTATAAGTTAGGGGAGCCCCACTCGTTAAAGTAAAATAATTCTTTAAAGCGATGTGCAATAGAACAGCCCTTTTGGAAGGTTCTGTTAGATAACTTGGTGAGAGTTTTTAATTAAGGAGCATGAGGTCTACCGATGTCCTTTTTATAAATACTTGAGATTGAAAAAAAATTTTTTTTAATATTTAAAAAATAAAAATAAAGCAACGACTTTTATGGTTGCCACACTTAATATTAATTTTAACTTACAAAACGTCAAGCTTAACTATCAAGTAACAAAGTTAAAACAAAAAACTTTCTTCTGCCCCGCACTTGAGAGGTATCTCGCGAAGTCATCATTTTAAAAAAGTGGGAGGCGCCCTTTGCAAACAGCTTCGTTTGTCTTTGACGGCCATAAATTTTGGTTCATAGTCACAAGGCGGGCATAGAATGAAATTTTGATGCCAGACAGCATCTTTCTTTATAAGTAGTCAGCCAGCTTTTTACTATTATAGTTAAGATAGCTTCTGAGAAGTATGGCTTGATGCGTTTTAAAAACACATACTTGCCAAAAAAGTACATAAAAGTTGAGTTTATCATTCTTTTATTAAAATTAATATTGTAATAATTCTAAAAAAAATATTATATAATTATTCAAAGTACTCTTAAAATTTCGACTATATTAACATACACATTTTTTTTTCTTTATACGCTTACTTAAAATTGTATATACCCATAATAACTATTACACAAAGATAACGCTATAATTTAGTTTAGCGAATTGAGCTTAAATTTATTAACGGGCACAAACTAAAAGATACTTGTAAGAAACGAGTAAATAAATTTATTTTACCATGTAAAATTTTATGGAAGGAGTATCTCGATTCTCGCCACATACTAATGACTCAACTAACATTCTTCTCTCAGATAATTATTCAAAAAAGAATTCAAAGCTTTAGAAGAGGTTTTTTTTACTAAATAAAAAACTTGCAGTATGGCCTTCGCCACGAGAGCTTATTGTCACTCAGCACCAGGGTTTTACTCGGTATGCAGTTAGTAAGTGAATATAACTTAGAAAGGTCTATGTCGTAAATTGTATATAAGCTAGACAGTAGCGCGGTTTTAGAGATCTTTTTCTTCTGATTCGTAGTGGGGTGGACTACTTCTTGTGTTGAGTAGCGTCTCTGGACTAGTGAAATTAATAAGTGATTATATATATATTTTTTTGTACTGAATAATCTTTATTATACTTCGGTCAGTGCACAAAAACAACAGGTACCCCAAAAGATTACCTATTTTTCGAAGATAAGCCAGCGCAGTAACTGTGTAGCGCGCTTCTTCGCGATAAATCAATTTTTCAACGGCGACACCAGCTGGCAAGCGTCACTAGTTATTACTGTCGATGCCGGCGCATTAAGGCGGCAGGCGAAATTGAAGGGATATAAACCGTCGTTTCAACCAGCATGTGGCTCATTTATTGTCTCATAGAAAAAGAGTATTTATAGCTTTGGGGTGAGTAAAAAGAAATAACTCACAATAAAAACGCGTGTAATGGCATGTGACTAAGGCGCGGGGTGGTTTGCACCAACATCTAAACAATACTTTTTTACTCGTAAAACACATGTAAATAGGTTTTTCCAATGCGCTATTGCTGAGCGTAAAAGTCAAGTGATAGAAGAGAGAAGATATACAATAAAACAAGCTTATACATTTGTAAACTAATTTTTTCAATGTAACTTGTAAGAGTTTTGCTTGATAAAGAGGCAGTAACTATTAAGGTCAAATAATATTCCCTATTTAGCTACCTTTTGATTCAGTTATATTAACTCGGAACTTTAAATATTATTTTATCCAAAAAATAATGCTTGCCACAACGTTAAAAAAATTTAAGCTTAGTGTTTCAAAAAAACTCGCAAATATATAAAACTTTAATAATTTATTCGATAAATTTTGAGCAACCTAGGGAGTGCTAAAGGCACCGGAAAAAATAAACAAAAAGAAAGGTGTGTTGTACATGCCATTTTTTATAACATAATTTGGGATATGCCCTCGATCAGTCCAAACACCTTAAAGAACCCGAAACCCCTTCTAAGCTATGCACAATTGCCTGAGGGCAGCAACTCATGTTAAACATGAAACATCAGAGTACTAGGGAATAGTTTAAACAGTTTACGTGCTCAAATCTCCTTGGTTTACCTGGTGTCTTCCCGAGAACTCCTTTTTGAATTGTCTTCTTGGCTTGCGCCGAACATATTTTTATAAAACTAATAATGGCTAATGTAACAGAAGAAAGCGTTGTTGAAGTACTTAACAGCGTAACGTAAAATCTTACTATTTTTTCACCTTTCTCTCGGTTTGAGTCTTATTTGTTAAGTGCCACTGCCTTTCCTACTTTGGCTGAGTTCAGTGGAATTAAAGATGCCGACATATTCGTCGCTTATATAGCACTTTTACTTATGGCCCTCATCCCTATTTATATCGGGAGTCATTGGTCTTTATCCCCTAAAAAGGATGGAAATGACAAGGAACCGCCTCTTACTACTAAGGTTTATTAGAAACTTTAAAGAAGATTTTTTATAAACTATTAAAACAGGAAGCTGCGATGTTTCCTCTATATGCTTCTGGTTTTCTTCTTGGCCTTTATGCAATCTTTAAGATTTTTGGGAAAGACTACATTAACTTCATTTTGAGCATTTATTTCGTGCTTATCGGGGCAGTATCCATTGGCCACGTTTTAACTCGTCCTCTTCGAAATATTATTCAGTTTTTGGGTCTCGGAAGATATTTAACCGCTTATAAATTATCGTTGACCCGAAACGAGGAGGGTTATATTTTATTTTATTACCTTATAAAACAAATAGTAGTACTTTAAACTTTTTAATTTTTACTTTTATGCAGTAGATCTCTTTAATTTGACCTTTGACTACTCCAATATATTTTCTCTACTTGTCGGAAGCGTTGTCGGCGCAGTTTATTTCAAGCACAAACAATGGATGGCTAACAATTTATTTGGCTTATCCTTGTGCATCTGTGGGATCGAGTCAGTTTCTCTTGGGACCTATAAAGTTTGCTCTATTTTTCTCGTTTATTAGAATTGCAGTTTGTATTGCGCTTTGACATTAGATCGGCCTTATTCTTCTAGGCGGTTTGTTTTTATACGACATCTTTTGGGTTTTTGGTACGGATGTCATGGTAAGATGTGGACACTTCCGCTAATAGTCTAGCACTTTATTTTAATATGTACTATTATCAAAGGTCACTGTCGCAACTTCCTTTGACGCTCCTGTAAAACTGCTTTTTCCCAAGGATTTAGCTTTTTTTGAGTCCAGTAACTCTCGATCGTTTTTTCTTCTCGGTCTCGGAGACATTGTCGTTCCCGGTACTCTCTACTTCCCCCTTTCCTTCTCTCATCATGAAGCGCTCACACTCGCCTGTGCAGGAATTTTTATCGCCTTTCTTCTACGCTTCGATAAGCGTAAGAGCGAGAAGAAGGCTCACTTTTCCAAAGTCTACTTCTGGACCGGCTTTCTCGCTTACATAATTGGGCTAATAGGCACCGTACTTGTAATGCACTTCTCTAAGGCTTCCCAGCCAGCTCTGCTCTACCTCGTCCCCTCTTGTGTAGGTATGACTTTTCTACCCCTGCTCTCCTCGAAAGCCCCCAACTGCCGGATGCGTGGTTTTCAGGGTCTACTTTCTTGGCTGCTGCTATTCGAAGGGAGCTACCCGAGCTTTTTGCTTATTCTGACGAAGACGAGAAGAAAAAAATCTCTGAAAAGAAGCAAGAATGACTTCTTGGCTATAAATAAAAATATGAACAGCCAGTAGTTAGGCACTGCTTTCTGTATATCCTGAATTGTGTGTTCCCCTCCACCCTTCATCACAGCAATTTTTTTAGCTGGACTTTTTTGTCACTGTGTGTGCAGAGAAATTAGCGTGGTAGGAAATATTAAGTATAATAACCACTTTATTATGTACACGGCAATTAGTTCTTCGTTCGAAATTATCCATGTTTTATAGTTGTCAATGCTTCTTCGCTAAGTCGTTTATTTCGTATCGTTTTTCTGTTTTTCTGGATTATGCTTATCTTTTATGAACTAAACTTTCTACATTACAAACTACCTTTCTTTGTCCGGAGTTTTATAAATGACTACCAAAAGAATCGAGGCGTACAAGCACGAGTACCAAGAAAGAGCAAACAATCCGTATCTATCTGCGCTGATGCACATAGAGGCGGACAGGACAAAAACCGAGAACTTAATTGTAGCAGTATACAACTTTTTGGCTACTTTTCCCCTTAGAAAAACATAAAAGGTTGCATTTTAAACACCATCGACGGCTCTGAATATTTATATAGAACCGACCATGGTTTGCCCGTCCTTTCTGAGGTACATGCTCTGCACTCCGGACCGTGCAGGCTGTACAGGAACATTAGCAGGGCGAGGCACCAGAAGGAGGCCTTCGCTACCTGCAGGATTTCCATGACCCGAAGGGCACGTGAGTGAGCGATGTTAGAGGAGGTCACGTACTGAAAGTAGCAGCTGAAGTAATCGGAAAACAACGGAAATAACAAAGCGCCATGACTGCATTTTGCGCCTTCAATAACGAACGCCTTAAAGTAACTGATACCCTCGCCCATCTCAAGAGTGGCGAAGAACACACAGAACCCGACAAGCAGTGCCGCCAACTGCCGTCTTATTGGCGTTGCCTGCAAAAGAGATTGACTTAAACGAAAGTCATATAAAGAGGAAAAAGAATAACGGCACGCACGTGCGTTTTGAAGATGCACAAGATCAGAAATAGTAGACTTGCCAATAGTATTACAACGCCTGGCGTGAAATAAACGGCTAGAAGAGTTGAAAATATAAGAGCGAAGACTAATGTTCGTGCAGTAAAAAGTGATCGCGGTAAGCTAATAACAAAAAAAAACTTAATAATTAACTTATTAAATTAATTACTACGCACCGGCAACAATATGTCCGCGAAGGACGCGTTCTAAAGAGTAAAATTCTCGTGAAAGCGTATAACAGTAGTACAAAGCCTGTAAAAGTTGTGAGATTCAAATATATTATAAAGACTCGGGGAAGACACAAACCCGCAGAAGTGGATCCTATCCAGAAGATGGACAGCAGGTCGGAGGTAAAAGTAAACGAATACAGATAAGCTATTAATAGAAAGTCCGCGCTGAAAAGTTTAACGGGCTCTGCAAGAAAGAGAAAGGGAAAAAAACGTTCGTTATAAGCAGCCTGCTTTTTCAACCCGCCGAAAAAAAGAGGACCGCTCTGCCGCGCTTGTTGGAGTGCCAGCTTGGAAGAGAGCCGAAAGATCAAAGCAAAACCAACGGCCACTGCATCAAATATGTGATGCTGAAATAAAATGGCCGCAGTTTTCCAGAAAGACACAGCAATCTCCACATTATACGAGCAACAACTTGTCAGAGTCTGAAGTTGTACTGGTCGCTTCCGGTCGTCGGGCCTCTGGGAATTCTGAAGAAACAATAGCAACTCCTCGCGACGAGACACATGGCATAACTCTTTTTCGCCTAAAACCCCTAGCACTCGGTCTAATATTGCATAAGATAACGCTGGTAACACAAAAAAGGTGCAAGAGGGGCAAACCTACCAGAGCAAGTGCAATGGACCCGGGTGATTTTCATGTAGAAGCTAATAAACGCATAGGGGAAATCGTTCTTTTGAAAAAAATCTACAATTATTAGTCTATGATAAACAGATGTACATACGTACGGTAAACTGGATAAGATAAACGCCAGAGTCGTCGTTGCTAGGCTTTTCCATAGAAAACAAGATTTTTGAAAACACTGAATTAAATTTTTTGTAGGCAAAATATTCTTTTACAAATAATATCTTCGACTGCTTCACCTTTGGGAAATTGGAGGTGTGCTTTCTTAGGTATGCTGAAGTCGACGTATTCTTCTTGGTCCCGGCTGTTATCTCCTTTAAAGCAGACCAGGAGAGAAGATGACCTACCGTGACACAAGTCGGGTTTGCTTGTGCTCGCGGGCGATGGAGAGGAATGTTGAGGGCCTTTTATATACCTTTTTAACTCCACGAGCAGGTACGAAAACGTTCTACTGGTGGTGTTTCCCGGCTTCCCGGATTGCAGGATCGTAAAATCCATGTCGCCTCCCGTATACAACTTTGAATCAAAGGGTAACACGTGGATTCGCAAGGTTATATCTTCCCCATGGCAATTTTCGGAAGCACATCCACACTGTTTGCTGGGCTCTCCTTGCTTCGAGCCGCAGAGAAAGAGACTGTCAACCCTCGCATTGGACAAAAGGGTAACTTGCGTGTCGTTAGATGAGTAGTGGTAACACGTGTTTTTCGCCACAGACTGGCGAATAGCAGTGGCGTGAGGAGGCTGGCGAACATCCACAATAGTAAAGTCAGGAAGATGGATACCTACTTAAAATAGCCAATAGTCAGGTAAAGATGCTTCTAATCTGTCATTTTATAACTGTTATTTCCGCTTGACAAGTTTTTTCGTTTTTCAAAGGAATAAAACGAGTTCCAAACGGCACTTGTATTGTTGCGAGCCACGATCTCGTTCATGTTAAAAAGTGTCCTTACGATTTCAATGATGACCTAAGTCAACAGGCGTCACCCTCCTTCACCGCCTGGAATAAACGAGAGTAAAGTGACCTGTCTGCACCAGACAATCGACTTGTGGTCCGCAGAAAGACACGTGTTGGGCATCTCATAGGTTGACGAAAAAAGCAGCGTGCTAAGCCGACTCCTGTTTTTCTCGCTCTCGTAGATGCGCTCGTAGTATTTGCTGGAGCTTCCCACGGACGGCCAACCGTACCGGGTGTAAAAGTCCCGGTCGCCTCCAGAAATAAAGACAAGGGGAGGAAGTAAAGCAGTTTCTTATAGAAATGAGTATTTAGCAACACCCAAACAACATAAGGATGATTTCGAAACCTTCCGGGCGACGTTGCTTCTCTCTTTCATAGACACAATTCAATTTATAATAAAAAAAGGCCATATATATGTCCGGTACAAACACCGGTCTGTGGGGAGTGGCTAGTGTAAGCACTAAGCTGATGCGATTGTGCAGTAGTTGCTGAAGATCTTTGCTTAAAAAATCTTCTGCCGAATGGGAGACAGCACGTGCAATAACTCCTTTACGGGAAAAATAATAAAGAAAGCTAGTGGCAAAAAAGATCGTACCCCCCATGGAATAGCCTATTATCACAATTTTTTTGGTTTCTTAAAAAATTTAAAAGTTTATGTAAGAGAGTATTACATAACATATAGAAAATAGCAAGTACTATTATTGTAATATTCCAGTATTTGTGCAATGCATCTACCAACATACTCAGTTTGTCTTAGAGCTAAAACACCATACATGGCAGTAAGTTCTTCGTTAAAATCAACTAATAAAAAAAAAATCTTCAATGCAAATTTTAGCGTGAGAAATAGAAAGAAGTGCACAGGCAACAGTTTATATAAATAATACATTTGTTGAGAAGACTACAATAACTTAATATTTAAGTAAAAAAAACCAGCAAAGTAATCAAAGTTGATGCTATTGTTGATGTTCTTTGACATTTGCGTTGAAACAGAGGCCAGTGCGCGAACTTGCCTTCTACTTCCAGCGTTTCCAGGTATAAAAAGAACAGGGTGCCCAGTAAACTATTGAAAAATACAATATAAAAAAGGTTAAAACCAAAAAACATTAGTACTTGTTTTGTATCCTGTTCTGTATAGTAAACAAGAGAATACTTATCAAACAGTTTTGGATCTAACTGTGGATGTTCAAGTTTGTAATACTAAATTAAAATTAATAAAAATAACTTGGAAAAACTATATAAAGCAACCGTCGGATTTTTATACAAAATAGTCATTTCACAAAAGTTTTCGTCATAATAAGTCCAAAAAAAGTGTCTTACTACAATAGTTATGATTACAAGGTACAAGAGGAATGAAGTTAACATACCCGGTAAACACAAAATAAACAGGAATATTTTAAGACTTGAAACGTTTAACAAAGAAGCAATAAGCATTGAACCGCTATTGATAATGGTCTAATGATCTTTTTGTAAGTTATAACTAAAGGAGAGGAAAGACAATAAAAATGAGTTAACCAAAAAAAGGAAGAAAAGGAGAATGGCGTAAAGTATTTATTATTAGTGTAGTACCTTATTTGAATAAACGCGGTTTTTCGGTGCTTATGCTATTTTAGTTTATATCAAGCAAGCAAGTTGTAATTGCTTTTATAATTGTGTTACCTTAAGAACTATGGAAAACGAAATAAACAGGAAGCTTTAAGTTGTAATACAATTCAAAAACTAACGACAATAGAAGCAGACAAGAACTTAAAACTAAGGTAACCTAGAGGCGGGTGCACCTAAACCAAAAGAAAAGTAGAAACCAGACTTATTTATTTGTAAGTGGCGTTCCTTGGTGCTCGATCGAGTTAACAATTTCGAATACAATAGCGCTCAAACAAATTTTTGGCTGTCCACGAGAACAAAATAAAATTATCATGAAAACTGTCTTCACGTTCAGTATAATCCCCCAACTTAGCTACAACCATCAAAATCAAACAGGGAGTGCGCCGTCCTACAACACTTAAGTGAGTTCTTCCGCTAAAAGTTGATTTGCGTGTCCAACAATCCGTTTGAGAGGGCGACGGTGTCATTTTTAAAGATTGTGGCCAGCAGCTCAATTTGTAGTCCGTGGGGAAGTGAGTCATTGCGCACAAACCACGGCGCCTATTTTAAAGGGCGCAGCAGTTCGTTTTGTCGCACTTGAAGAGCTACACCCGAAAGATTTTAATCTTTGAAGAAAATACGTTATATTATAGTTTTATACGCTGCTGGAGCATACGCGCACATAACATGTATATAATTGATGTTATTTAATTAAAACGCACACAGCTAATAAAAATAATTCAAGTTAATATATATAAAGTTTTCTTATTTTTATATGCCTTTAAAAACTTCAAAGCAATCGGTTTGCAAGAGTGATCTTTAAAACATATATAAAATGGCTTATTACTTGAGATCGTAATTTAAAAAATGGAATGCCTTGCTCACGATAATGTTAGGTGAGCGCATTCGGAAAGGTACAGTTCATTCCATTATGATCTATGGGGTCAAATCTTCGAGCTTTGTTAGTAGGGCAGAGGGGAATAGTCACAACTTTGTTAGAAGACTCAAAGTATCGAAGTTTGTTGGCTCGACTGAGCATCAGGAAAGCGCAATAAAGGCGACTATGTTCTTTGTGGTTTCGTAATGTTGTCTCATGGACTTTTAAGTATGCCATAAAAATATCAATTAAATTATTAACTCATATCTCTATAAATATTATACTCTATTATATTATTGTTTATAATGTATTAGTTTTGGGGCCTTGGAACCTCTTGAATTAACTTAAAAAATTGAGGGACTTTTTTTCCTGAAATTATATATGGGCTTATAAAATCTGTGACCAGATACGCAAACTATTGTGTAGTTATACCCTCCGCTTTATTAATTAGTATAAAAAAAAGACTTTAAGGTTAGATTTAGCATTAAGAATTATGCTTTATTTTTTCTACACTTTGTAGGGCTTTGCATCGCCCTATGAGTATAAAACCGGTTAGTATTTCTTATACAAAAAATGAATTTAATTTAATTTTCTGAGCAAAAAGGCTGCACAGTAGGAAGTACGTGACCCTTATGTCCTTAAAAAAATCCTATTAAATATACTCATAGTAAGAGATTGAGCTGGTTTGTTTCAAAAACTTCTTTAAACTTGACATTATGTCTACGCCCTTTGCTCAGAATTCGCTTGACTTAACGCCCCCGCCCCCTAATATTTTAGATCGAGCGCTGGCCTACATAGTGGTCAATTAAAAAATTGTCCTAGATTAATTATGCTAGCTGAAATGCTCTCCTTAACGGAAAATATATATTCTTTAAAGGCCTTTTGCATAATAGTTAAACTTTTTAGTTACACAAATGCTCTAAATTGGTGACATTGTATATTCTAAAACGCTTCCTATTATGCATCTATGAACCTTTAGAGTCTAGTTCTTTACTTGTATAAAGGATGTACAATTTAGCACGAATGCTCACAAAGCAAACAGTCGACGCTACCTAAATTATCCATGGAAATGCCGTTTAATTGTTGGTGGTAAACGGTTTTTTTATTCAATAGGAATTGTAATTATGTAGCTAAAAAGTAAATCACTTCATTGTATATGCAACAGAAATTTTTATGGTCCGAAGAAGCTTTTATAAAGCATTCCTCAGAAGTCCAAAAGTTTTTATTAAAATATTGGTATAAAGTGACTTTAAAACTAATGAACATATAATATCATTACATTCTAATATGTCCTTTTAAGCTACGACGGTATATTAAGCACTAACGGCCATAATTAACCATTTAACTAACCTCTGCCGAATTTAAAAATTATAGGCATGAACAAAGTAACTGAGTCCTTAGTTGGTTCACTAAAATAGTTTCGGATGTTTATTATTAACATTATCCTTAATAACTCTAGTTTCAAAATAATTTCATTATAAAATTACGTATATTTTATATAATACTTTATTTTTATCTATTGCAATAACTTTTTGAAGATAAGTTTAAATGGTTTTGGGTACGAATAATCAGTTGGAAATAACTATAACTGCTTAAATGAAGCACACGTTCTATCGCTGATGAAATTTATTTTTCTCGACAAATATCATTCAAACAAGGAAGTTTTCAATTAAAAACGAGTCAACTTCACTTCTACCTTACCCATTCCATTGAAACATAACTTAGGGTCAAAAGGTCAACTTATAAACGTGGCGACCAAAATAGTAGGGTAGTACTTATGACCGAGTATGTATACATTCAACACCGGCTAAATCAAGTATTAAAATACCAATTATTAGACTCAGGTCATCTTCTCCTTTGCAATAAGGAATCATTGTATTTTGTATGCGTCTCCGTTAGGTAAGGAGCAATAAGAGTTATCCGAACATACAAACTGTTCAACCCTTTTTTTTATGGCAGCTGCATAATTTTTTGCTTAGCGACCTGAATACGTGTCATTTTGTGTAAACACTCAGCTTGTAGAGCCTGTCTGTTCGTTTTTTAATATTTACAGTTCATTTTTAAAAAATGCGCACTTTAGTATTTCGCACCAACACTTCACAGAGGCCTAGCTCTCGTAAAATTTTTATTTTGCCTCTTTTCAATTCGTAAAATAATAAACCCGATTCAGGAACCAGAATACTGTGTTTAGTGTAATAAATATAAAATTTATCTATTCTAATCTTCGCGAGACGGGTTATCATACCAAAATAAAACAGTTTTTGTAGAAGTCATTTGTACGACTACTTAAATTACAACCTTGAAACTTAAATTTTTTTTGTTGGTTTAAAATCTGCTGATCAATGAGCATCTAGGTTTCAGCAAGAAGGCTTGCTTTTTTTGTTATAATTTTTGTCTAAAATTTTTATAAATGAAATTTCATAGTTCTTGAACCAGGGTTTTGCTTATCTATACCATACAATTTCCAAACTTCCTTTAGGTGTTTTTATTATTAAATTTATTTACCTTATATCTTTGTCATAGCCTTAAGTTATGTTTTTGATAAAAAATATGGGAAGAAGTACGATATTAGCGTTTCACACGCCGTTTCTCCATTATCTCTGATGTAATGGTAAATTGTGTTTAAATACCTCAGCCTTTTGTTAGAAGCATTGCCTTTGATATGTTGCTCCCAACTTCTCATTTTGTGGTTGTAGGTGTCTGTTTTTTGCTAAGAATTTATTTATTACAACATTTTCTTGCTTTAAATTCTAAATTAGTTTGGCTTGAAGTTATGTACATCAAATATCGCTCTACACTAAGTTATGTACCATAGTGATCTTTATTTTAAAAGAAGCCTAGGAAGAAACTGCGTAACATATAGTAATTCTGTATTGCACATTATTTATAAAAATAGTTGGAGTTGAAGATTAATATAAAAACGTACTTAGCTAATGTTAATTGTGAGTCATCGTTGTTGTATACTAACTTTATCAGCTGTGAGATTATAAATTATGCTGCAACTTGTTTGTGTCTTCGATAGCTCTAATGTTGCGTTAGTTTGCATTGTTTTGGCACGTTTTTTTAAAAGCACTTAATTTTTTATCATATGCTGCCCCCTAGTATCTTCTCTATCGGCTCATTGTATATTACTTTTTAGGCTTTTCAATTTTTTTACTATTTGTTTAATTAATTTCTGTTTGTCATTAAGGGCTCACCGTTTAAAAGCACAACATCAATAAATATAGGTATAAATTGATACGAGGCCGCGTCATTCTTTTTTTTTTATTGTTTCAAGTAAAAGGTATCGTGCTAATCGAGCAGCTCAAAAAGTTTTAAATAATTTAGTAAAATGCTTTTGAACTTTAACATATTCTTTGATAAATATTTTTTGTAAATATTAAATAGTGAATTAATTTTTACACTTTTGTCTACAGTACTTAAGTTTTTTTTAAAAAAAAATGAAGATTGTAAGGCTAACAATGAGATATTTTTTTCCCTGCCTAGAACCGATTCAAAAAAAAAAAATGAAAGTTCAGTTTTTTTAAAAGTAGTAAACTGAATAGTTATTTGAAGATTAAGTAAATTGCAAAAAAGATTTCAAGATGTGCAGTTTACTTATCTTCCGTGGCCTTATGGAAATTATAAAAGTAGCTTAAAATAAATCGTAATTAAGTTCTGCTTCCTGTATATGGAATATTTTTTAAAAAATTGATATAATGGGTACTAAAAGGGTTGAGTTTCTTCGATTATTTTATCGATTACGGTAAGGATATTGGCTTTGTTGTTGCTGGCAAAATAAGTGTTAAAAAATGAATTAATGTTGGACCATGTGAGAGTGCCATTATATACTTTGTTAAAAGGTTAAAAAGGGTTTTGTACTTTCAAATATTAAAAAGGAAGTTTATTATTTTTTAAAAGGGTACAGCGCTCTAGGCACAATCGAGTTGATGGTAGTATTTTAAGTCTTCGAAAGAAATATTTTAAAATATAATAAGAGGATAGCTTAATAGAGAATTTGAATAATGGAAAGAAAGGAAAACGAGAAGTTGGATTATAAGCTAGAAAACCTGTGGAACTTACGCAGCGTTAACTTATTAAATACGTGAATGATAACATTTTGCGAGGGTCAAAGGGAAAGATAAAGTGGGCGGAAGGGCTACGCAGCGCAATTTTATGAAGGAATCCCTTGTGAACCAACTTCCTACGGTTTTTCGGCATACAGAGAGCTGGATTTGCTACCTTATTAAATTATTGGCATAGGCCCGTCCGTTTTGGCAGATTGAGGAGCTTTTGAGTCGTTAAGTGACTCTCCGAAGTGCAACTTGGAATTCTGGTAGGACATAACTTGCGTCAACAAATGCACAGCTTTTTTGCTAATTGTACAAAAGATTGATAGGCGGACATTTGCTTTGCGTATAGGCTGGTCGCGGAGTCCTGTAGTGCACTACAACAATAGCCGCCTTTTATCGCAAAAAAAGGGGTCGAGGGTGACTGTCGAGTTCACAAGTCATATACGTTCTACCTCCACCAACGGTATTTGCTTCAGCATCATCAGGTTGTTATCCGGAGCGAGCGCCATGGTGGTTAGCTCAAACTGCTGATCAGTGTCTGGCGAAATTCGACTTAGGAAGCATTTCATTTGTGACCTAAGAATTTGAGCACTAAGGTCGCGCATTTTACCCAATTTTTATAAGCGGTGGTGCTTGGAGTTTAGATCCCCAAATAAAGTGCCTGAGGGGCTCTACATGAAAAGGCTTTCAGGCTTTTCAGTGCAGTTATTCACAGGGGCCCCTAATTGGCTAAGGAAAGAAAAACTCGAACTATTTCATTGCCTTGCAGGGTGCGAATAAGTTGGTCCTAGCGATAAATCAAGAAGTTGCAGGGCAAATAAAAGAAGCTAGGAAAAAGCTGTATAGGTAGGGTAGCAGATATAGTTATACTCATGCGTTTACAGAAATATTTTAAAGCAGAATCAAAGTCAACCCCATCTGGCAACTATTAAACCTACGCATCTTAGAAAGCTCTATACTAAGAACTTTTGTAAGCGCGGTAATTTAGTTTAAGCTTTATTCTACATCTCAATTTTAAATCTTATACAACAATTTTAACTTTCTGCCAAAGATAATTAGAAAAAGTTTTTGCTCACCCAACTTTATTATTTATTGAAGAAGTTACTAATGACACAAATTTACATGCTATTTGGTTTCTCCAAGCTTTATTCTATATCATGTCTTAAACATTAGAACCTTACCATTATATCCTAAACGTACTATTATTCCAAGAAAGGCACTATCACAGGTAAAGGCTATAAAAAGCATAGACTTATCTATACCCAAGGCAGGAATAAACGTATTTATTAGGCAATATAATAAATAAATAATACAGTAAATAGACTGCCCCCTTACAGTGCAACACGCCCCAGGCAGAAAGCAGTAAAATTAAAATTTTCTTCTAAGGGGCGTGTGCTACCTTTATTTATAGCCACAGGCATGCTGAATTAATAAGACGCACGTGGTTAACAGTACGACAAATTAAATTTAAGAGGTTTTTAGTATTCAAAAGTATTCTCTGGAGCTTGTATGTTTTCAAAAGTCGATCGGATGCGTTTGGCTTTAGCACGGTCCACGAGGGTATTAATAGCGTAAACACAGAAAATATCTCAAGGAGGCGAGCTATCATGGCTGATTTTTTTCTTCTTAAAGCAGTTTTTTGACCCCTTATGCTTCTAACTTTTTTATTACTTCCTCTACCGAAAGTTGTTCCCTATATACTATAAGTATGACCTTATTAGCTATTTCAGACCGTTAGTTGTCTTTTAAAAATACTTAAGACGACATTTCTATATATGTTCAGTGAACCACTATGTACAGTATACCCCCAGAAAGCGTTGACTAAAGTATAACTTGTATTAAATCTTAGAGGGGCGTCTTTCCTAAACACAAACGAACATAGCTTGAAAAATACTTTGAATAGCAATAAAACACTGTACAAAACCTAATAAGGGCGCTGGACTTAGCTAAACCTCTAAAATCATAGAGTATTCACACATGTGTGAATAGGTTAACAGATACAGTTAAGAGCATATTAGGGGACGCATCACTGTTAAGAAAAAAGAAAAGCTCATAAAAAAATAAATTAAAAAAATAAACTTTATTATAACTGTATAAAAGGGGAGCCTAGCCATCACTTCTAAAAAGGAAGTTATACATAAAATATTAACACTGTCAAGGGTGACCAGAGGGTAGTTATACAAATAACAATAACTAAAATAAATGAACTATAATAGTGCAATAAGCAGCTTTAAGTTCCATGGTGACGTGCTAAAATAGCTACTAGTGAACCAGCGATGTGTATCTGTCAGTTTCGCTTAATATTCATAAAAAGTCTTGTTAACTAAATTGTTATATTAAGGTAAAAGGCGTTGATGAATTATCTGCGAAATAGTGCCGGCACTACTCCTAACCTGGCGAGGTATGTAGGGCGACCGAATATCAGGTTGAGCCGGCGGGTTGTTTAAGCCAGAAACTGCGGCGGATAAAAAAAGCTTACTAAATGCTGGTGCTTGCAGCTGACTGGTCATGAGTTTTTCTGACTGGGTGTCAAGAGCTGTCGTTCGTGGGTTTTGCTGAAAAGCAGACGCTTGAGGTTGACGCGAAAGGAGTTGCTTGTTTGTTAGATAGTCCAAAACGTAAGAATACTGAAAAACCATAAGTTCAGCATCAAGCATCTTTTCTGGAGTTAAAGGTTGTGGCAGAGCGGTAACTGATTTCTTAATTTGTAATATGTGTTGTTGTAGTTGGCTAATATATAATTCAAAATCCATTCCGCTTATCTGAAGCTGTTGAAAGATTTGCTGGGCATTCGACTGAGCCCTTAGTCGTGCCGCTTGGATCTTTTCTTGTAACGTCAGTAGGACGCGCTGGCCTTGATGATACAAGTGTAGGGCGTGTTGTTTAGACGAGAGTACAGGTTGGATATTTTGTAAAGTTTGAACTTTATCATCTTGCAAACAATTGTTATTAACAAGGTGAGGAGAAATAACAGTAAGATGCCTGTTGTCAAGCAGAGAGGTGGGCATAACCTCGACAAGCTGGTTTATTCTGGAAGATTCACTAATAGAAAAAGTATTTGGGTCCATAAGCGAAACTGAGGGAATAGTAATAGAAGTAGTCGAAAAAAATGATTTAGAATCCGAGTTAGGATAAACAGCGAGGCAGGGCTCTTTAGCCCACTCCAAGCCCAAATTTGTGTTTGTGTTAAGAGATCCCGCATTTAACTCCGAAATGCTCCTTGACTCGTCAAAGTCAACGGCAGTCTGTACTTCTGAAGTGTTTGCCAAGTTATTCATAACATGTCCGACAGAGGCTGTGGGCTGCTCTGAGGACGTCCTTTGAGGCGATATTCTTTTTGTTGACTGAAAATGTCCAGAAGTCACAGAGTATTCACCTTTAGCACTCTGCTTATTTTTTTGACTCACCTTTAAACGGCTTCTTGGGGGCCCGCTAACCTTGACGTTGCCCATACCCTTTTTAATTGGAGTATTACATTTTCTTTTGGTATTCCTAATTAATTTTTTAACTCTCCTTCTAGAAATATTACTTGTAGTATCAAGCTCATGGGCTCCTGAGGATGTATTTAGACCAATACGGCAACCACCCTCTGAAACTATATTAAGCTTATCTGTAAAGGCTTCATTAGTTTTTAGGCGGTCTGTATAGGAGGATATTTCATAACGCAGGGGAGACTCTTTAAAACTAATAAATTTTTGGGTAGCCCTGGGCGGGCGTCTACTTTTAGTCCTTAACAAAGATTTGTTGCAGTTAACGTTTTCCTTGTTATGACCAAACATATCATTATTTTCTTCTTCCGAGCTTATTTTGTTTGTACCTTCACTTTCCTTTGAGTAAGCCAACATTTGAATTCCTGATAAAAAGTTAGTCTTTGCAGTTTTGCTTTTAATGTAAGCAGGCGGAAGGAGAGCTTCTAGGGAAGCAGAAAACTTTTGGGCTTGCAAATCGGACTCTCCCCTTTCTTTAGTTTCTTTATGAAAAAATTAATTATAGAAACTTCTTAAGAAAAAAATAAGGAACCTTCTCGCTCTACTAAAAGTATTTGGATATCATCGTAAAAAGCAAGTAAATTATGGATCACCTTAAAAAGGTCTTCAGAAATTTCTTTATCGTTATTTTGCTTAATAGCCGCAGAGATGCGCTTTACCTGCATTAGTTATTGTACGCCTACTTATTACGTATATCAATTTATATATTAAATAAGTAAAACCGTTTGAAAGTAGGTTAAAACTCTGCCGTAAACTTCTTTATCCACACTAGAAGGATCTCTCAAAATTTCCATATCCATATTTGTTTTAATTTTATACAGTTTAGAGACAAGCAATTCGAAATGCTTGAGTAGTTCTTGACTGTTAGAGAAATTTAACTTCTTATTTGAGATAGAGCGCTCAATCGCGCGGTATTCAAGGCGAGTCAATTTCATAAAATTTTTATCGGGGCTACCAGAATTGCTGTTTATATCGGTATTACTTACAGCTTCACTACAAGGGTTACTAGCATTAATACCGCTACTTTCACTAATTTTTTTTTTGGCGTCATGATTACTAAAAAGCTCAGAGTCTTGTTTTAGCTCAGGCACTAAAGTGACGCTAGTAACTCCATTGAGTCCCGTTGTAAGAAGGGGCAACTTTTCATTAGTAGGGGCATCATGTTGAGCACTTCTATCGTCAAAGGCTTTTCTGTTAGTTCCATAACTACTGCTAATTGTACCGCCACTAGCTTTATCATGATTATTACTATTAGCATTACTACTACTATTATTGTTATGACTATAATTATTATCACTACTACTATTGCTATTACTACTATCATTACTATTATTGTTGCTACTACTATTATTACTATTGTTATTACTATTATTGCTATCATCATCATTATTATTATTAATATTACTATCTTTCTTATTATTATTTAATTCATTGTCCTCTTCTTCATTTTCCGTTTCTTCTATTACATTTTTGCAAGTGCTCTCTCCTTCTGAAGTTCGTACGGAACGCTTAAATATATGTTTACTGCCGCCAAGCCCCTAAAATGCTATTATTTTGGTTTGGACGTGAATTAAACTCCTTGTTGGTCATATCACTTTGCATTTTAGAACCGTTATTATTATTTACTTCCTTCGAAAGAGGACAGAGATATATGGTCCCCTCTTTTAAAGGCTTCGGTGAAAACTCGTCCCCAGCGGGAGCCTCCAGAAGAAGGGGTTGACCCCCATCTTTTCGTTGTGTTGTAGTGTGTGAACGAAGAGTATTATTTATTGACTGTAACAAGTTTTTATTAGCAGCATCATCATATAGGTTAGAGTTTAAAGACGTAGAGGAGGCCTCAGTTTGAATAACCGTATTATTATTATTGCTTTCATTATAATTTTTTTCATTATGTATGATAGTCGACTTATCTTCAATATGGCTATTACTGCCATCACCCTCGTCATGATTTCCATCACTTTTTAAAGAGTTACTCCCAACCCCTCCATAGCTAATTGCGGTACCATGTTGACTATTACCGTCGTCGCAGGTATTAACGCCATACTTTGTACTGCTAAAAACTGCCTTTAAATCTTTGCCACCTGCCGGTGCAACTACCGTTGCACCTGTAACAGTGCTGGGCTGTCTGCCTGCCTTGGATTCAGGAGGAGCACCCCCAACTACCAAATCGGCTGATTCGGTGTTGGGGAGGACAGGAGGGAGGACGGGATGGGGAAAAGCGGACACACCCAGAGAGGCCACGTGTTGGAAACCCAACGCCTGCTGCTCTTTCATCCTCCTGCGTTTCATTTTGCGCTTGTTCTTAAGTTTCTTTTTACGCTGCAGAATACGCTGCTTAATTTGGTTACAAAAGGGAAACGGGCAAACTTCACGAGACGGCGTCGGACAGTTCTACAGATGACAGTTCAGCACGCAGTTATAAAAAAAGCCAGAGAGGGGTTTAGCACCTGAACGTGAAACATCGACAAGCTGAAGAGATTGCCGCAGTGAAGGCACTTGGAAGATTGCTGGCATTGTCTGCTGTGTAGCACCATCTGCTTGATCCGCAAGCAGCTGTCTTTTTGGCATGCGCTATCAGAGCAGAGACAGGCGTGCATCACAGTGTCCAACGCGCGCTTCATGCGCAGCTTTCGCTCCTCTGGGGTCAGGGGGAGGCTGGACCTACGGGGTTCCGCTCCTTTTGCCGGACGTAATAACAAGCATAAGTGACGAATTAAAGCGAGAGTAGCACGAACATACCTTGGTGATCGTCTTTGTCATCGTCCATAATTAGGCCAATCATGTTCATCTCATGCTCGTGGCCTCTCGTATCGTAGCACTTCTTGCACATGTCGTAATCCTCGCAACCCCCGGTGCAGTGGTACCTCGGGTCGATGGGGGTCAGGCGGCACTCGCACAGGTTACAGGTGAACTCGCTGTCCATGCTCTCATTGGAGTGCTTGAGGTGGTAGAGCAGCATCATCGAGCTGTACTTAGCGTTGCGAAGCTGCAGAAACCAACCGCCTCAGCAAAAAATAAGCTTAAAAAAGGAGAGGAGCACCGTGTTAAACTGGTAGTGGTTTTCTCGTGCAATATTCAGAAAACCCTCGCGCCCTTCCATCAGCTCGCACTTGTTAATGGGGTCGGGATCTACGATGGTCCGCTTGGCCTTGCAGAGAAGCAGACGCTTAGAGGGCTGACGCATGTGCAATCCCCATTAAAAGTAAAGAGGGCAGTACCGAGGAGCCCTTGCGGTTGAGATCAATAATAAAGAAAACGTCTTTATTGCGATTCATAAACTCAAAGACAACTTCTGCCAGTTCAGAGCTTTGCCGTTCTAGCTTCTTAACTTTCGTGGAGCGCTTCTTAAGCGAGCTGTGATTGGCCGTGTTCTTCTTCTTATTGGCTAAGCATTATAAGGTTACCAACGGAGTAATAAAACACAGGAGGTCACTAACGACACGTACTTTTCTTATTGGATTTCTTACTGCTTTCCACGCCTTCTGAAGTATCCTCCGCATTTTTTTCCTCTTCAATTTTAACAATTTGTTGTTCCATCACATCCGGCCAGTAATCACCTGAATGTAATGTGCAAATAATGACCAGCTGGGGACCCCAAGAAGCATTAATGAAACAGTGCAACCAGCGAGATAAGGGATCTGCTTGACCGACGAAATATTCTCAAGCTCCTTCTGTTCAATAATATTGCGAAAGTCCACAATAGCCTTCCTCTCTTTAGCCACCGAAAGCATCGTTCGGTACCATTCCTGCAGTCTCTTCGGCTTGGGGACCTACCACAAGTTAGACAGGCCAACATTGTCGGGCGGCATGCGGTTAACAGACCTTCTGGTCCTCCGGGTGGCAGTGGAAAATGTAGTCGTCCCCTTGAGCAGGCGGGCAGGCCCAAATGTGCGCGTACAAGTAGCCCAATTTCCCGCAGTACTCCAGATAGCTAATAAGAAATTCGTGATACACGGCAGTGCGGTACCTGCAAAAAATACGGGTAGCGTCAATGGTAGCTGTCACGTGGAAGAAGGGGAAATGTTTACGAAGGCGGCTGGAAGTAGTACACACTATCCAAGTAGGAGATGTAGACGCGGTTTCTGTTGGGAAGCGGCGCGTCAGAGCCGTATTCTTGCACATGCATACCAAAAAAGCAAACATCCACGCCGTCAATTTTTTGAAAGCAAAACAAAGCTTTATGCCTGTATCCGCATGGTTAGCACGTAGTGTTTTCCTGCCCAAACGCACAAGCTGCTTACTAACCGGTAGGGAAACTCCGCGGGGTAATCAGGATAGCGCTTGCGCATACCAGCAGCGACTTGGTTGATCTTATTCATTTGGCAGACGACGCGGACTATCACTGGAGGGGCGCCAGACCCAGTCAAGAAACGTGACACTCGCTCTTCGAGGAAGTCACCAAGTTTAGTTCTAGTTAAGGCTGATAAGCCGTCCCCCAGCAGAAAAAGGATTTTTAGAGGTTCGGTGCATATTGAGAGGCAGTAGGTACGCTTACACTCAGAGGGGACGCGATTGGCCTTAACATCAATGTTTAGCTCGTCAACACACTTTTTGCAGTAAATGTGCTTGTCCGTTAGTTTATTGTACAAGCGGCAGATATGATGGCACCGCATCCCACATCCGTGGCACTCCAGCAACTGGCAATGAAAAAAGCGACATCTGTAAGCGTAGCGCAAGGAACTCATGGCATTAGCAACTGCGTACCGGCTCGTACTCAATGGCGTCGTTAATTTTCCTGCTAAACTTTTCTTTGTCTACGGTAAAGTTAGTATCGTACTCGTGAACCACGGCCACAGCAACGTCAGCGCCAGCAAAGCACTTCTGACACACGCTATAAGCGGGTTCCTCGCTGCGGGGCGTGCAAGAGGTGGAAGGAAGGAGAGGTCAGAAAAAGAAGAGAGGGAGGGCTTAACACACCTCGTGACGTGATAAGGCTGCAGGCGAGGGATGGGGGCATACTGGCATTGAATACTGCAGCAAAACACGGGTGTAGGCTTGAATTCGAGTTTCCGGCCTTCGCAACAGTAGCCGAGCTCCTTCATAACAGGCCCAATTGCTGACGAACAAAGATGATTCTCATTAAAAAAAAGCAAAGGCCTCAGGTAGCGGTTATACCTTTAGTGAAGTACTTGCTCATGTTGGTGCACATCTTATAAACTTTACTATTTTTGGAATTGTAGGTCCAAGCGTTCATGAAGACGAGGTGGACGTCGTGGCAGTAGTCGATGTGGTCGATATACTCAAAGTTTTTCAGTTTATTTCTGATAGTAGCAAAGTCCATAGGAGATTTAATAATGTCAAAGTAATCCTATAAAAAAAACCGTGAGGGCAGCTGGAAAAAAAAAGATTCTTTAGCAAACAAAAGCTCACAGGAATTTTAAGAAGCTCGGGGTCCACAGGCTCATTGAACGGCAAAGCATCGTGCTCCCGCATCATGGCTTCATGCAGGGCAAGCAGGTCGGATTTGACCTGGCCAATAGAGAAACAGTCAGCAACTGCTCTTTGGAAAAAATAGAAGAGGACAACCTCCTGTGGCGTGTAACGCGGCCTCTTAATAGCTTTCAGCCGGTTCTCGTCTGGTTTGTCCGCGGGCTTATCTGCATCCTTTTTTAAAGGGAGCTATGCATAAAAATGCAATCGGACAAGTTACTGTACAAACAGATGCTATACGACCTCTACACTGCCAGTGGCGGCCGCGCCATCGTGGGGAATAGGCACTAACGGCTCTATGGGCTCCTGAGGAGTTTTGGGGCGGTTGCGTCGCATCTGCTCCAATAGATGAAGTTCCAAGGGGGTTAGCTGGTCCCCGTTGCGCTGCTTGAATAAAGCCTGTTGTAGGAGTTGGTAAAGCTGGTTTTGGTGCAAGTGCTGCTGAATAGTTGCGTTGTGGTCTTCGCCGCCGCTTAAGGGCAAAGGGGAACTCCGAGAAGAAATTGTTACATTTTCATTTGTGTAGGCGTTAAGATGCGGAGTAGTGGCGGACGAGGCGACGGTGGGTCGGTTGAGCTCTGGAGTAACGGTGACTTCCTGCTTGATCAGAGGGCTAAGCATGTGCACCTGTCGACTCTGGAGCTGTTGAAGCTGCTGGAGCATGAAAAGTTGTTGTTGTTGGTGCTGCTGAAATTGCTTTTGTTGCTGAGTTGTTTCTATCTGATGCAGTCTAAGTTTTATCTGCTCTATATATTCAACCTAATATTATTAAAGCATTAGTAATTCGGTGCTCTAAGAAAAATATTGTTTGCCAACAAGTACCTCACTAGTAGCATTCGAAAAAGCGCTCTGCTCAAGCTTTTGTGCGGCATGCAGCAGCTGCTCGGGGGCCACACCGGGCAATGTCTTTTGGAGTGCAACAACTCTATATAATTTGTCAATTATGAACCACACTCCATGAATATTAAGCTTCAATATACAATATAGTAAAACAAATGTTACACGGCTGAGATGATGCGGTTGAACCGTTCCTTAGACTTTAGCTTTGCACGCCAGTCTTCCGCAGAAGCTGAAAAGGCCGGCGTCGCAGGGAGAAAAGGGGCGTTAGCCATGTTCTGCTGTTGTTGCATAAACAGCTGAGGCGTAGGCTGTCTAAAGGGCAAGCAAATTTGGCAGTTAGCCTGTTCACACTTTTGGTAGTGACTTATGATCCGTCTGCTCGATAAGCAGGAGTGATCAGTACAGAGCTTTCCATCGCACACGAGCAGGTGCCGAAAAACCTTTTTCATCCGAATACATGGCTCGCTACACCCCATTTCTGAGCAGATTAGCATAAGCCAGGTGAATTCTGTGATGATTTATAAAAAGGGACAGGGAAAAAAGTCACCTGTGGGGCACGCCTGGGAATGAAGAATTTTGCGAAGATAATCTTGAACATGTAGAATCTCCTGGGCCAACTGCCTCTGTTGTTGTTGTTGTTGTTGCTGTAGTTGAAGAAGTTGTGAAGCGTGTTGCGCTTGAAACTGTTGAAAAGATTGTATGATGAACTGACTTTGCTGCTGCAATAACGTTTTTTGCTGAATTAATTGCTGAAGTTGTTGGGAGGAGAGGCGAGGCGACTGCATCGCCTGCTGTAAACGAAACTGGTTAGTAGCAAGCTGCTGTAGCTGCTGCTGGCACTGGAGGTGCTGCACTTGATATTGCTTCTGAAGTTGTTGTTGCTGCCTTAGAAAAAGCTGGTTGATCTGCAGCGGCGTCAGAGTGTATGATTGAGAGGGTGGACTGCCACTTATTATTTTTGAAGTAGACTCGTTAGTACCAATTTTACTATTTGGGTTATTACTACTAACATTGCTATTAACAGGCCCGTTAAAATAACTACTGTTATTAATGATATCACTGTTGTTAAAATCAATATACATACTGTCTTCCAAACCTGCACTCTTGTTAATCTCTATATTTTTAAAATTATAACTATTATCACTATAGTTTCGGTCCACTAGTTTTTCTTCATTTTCTTCGACCGAAGTATTTAAGTTGCGTGTACAAGTGGCGTCGGCATTGCAGCTACTTCCCTCATTCCAATTAGAAACATCCTGGCTGCCAACCTTTAAAACTTTGTGAGCGCCGGAATTCGATAAATAATCTTCAAGCTCGCTCTGAGCCCTGCCCTCTGCTCTTAAATACCGATTCCCAAGTAAACTTTTCCCAAGCAAAATAGAAGAAAAAGTCGACAGTAGGTTAGGAGACCGGGACAATGAGGGAAAGGCGAGTGCATCCTTCCTCTCCTGCGAGGAGTGAATTTCTGAGTAACCCCTCTGACGGGACTCTTCAAGCGAAGTAGCTAAAATTGTAGGAGAAGAAAGGCATCCCCTCCCCTTTAACCTTGGATCAGCCAACATAGAGGTCAAGTTACTAATACTTTTTGCCTGGTTGGTTAGGGAAGATTGGGGAGTAGGTACCGGCCCCTGAGTATTAAGATTTTCAAAAGGAAGAGACTCGATTGGTTTTCCTTCAAAAGATGTGAATTCTAAAAGAGGCGTTGATGAGGCGTTCACAGGGAGAGATTCCCCGCTTTCTTTTTCAGGCGTAGATAACGAAGGTGTAACTGGAGTAACGCCGGGGATGGCGGACGACGAACATACTTTGATAATAGGAGAGCGAACACTGAGTGT